TTGCTACTGTGTTTAGGAGTAATTCTAGTGTACAACATTTAAAATGAACTAGCTAGCAGAGTTTTGAAAAATTGTGTTAAAAGTTTTCCAATACTTCAGCTACAAACACTTTCATTATATTCCCCGCTGCTAAAATTTAGTCAATACAAGATTTTTAAAAATCAAGTTTGCCTGTTAAACTGGTAAACAGAGATACTGCATTCTCCATAGTCCTGTTATCCCTCAAAGACTTTAATACAGATTTCTTTTAGTGACCAGAATTCTATCTTTAGTCACAGTGGTATAACCCCCTTGTCTTCAAATACAGTTTTCCCCAAATCTATACAATGGTTGTCTCACAGCCTTTTTAGGTATATTGACAGCACAGCCTAAACCCACCATATCAGCTGATAGAAAAGTAATACTCTAAATCCATGTAGTATCAAATGGAAGCTGTCCACCCTCAGACAAAAGACAGAACAAACCAATCTTGCCTGTACAGCCCACACCCTCAGAGAAAACCCAAAACAACATTTTATGACACTTTCTACATCAACAAGATGTGTATTTAGTAGACCAAAATGGGAAAAGCCTTTAAGTTAATGACTAATGATGTAGAAAGCCTTCCTAGTTGCTTTCTCAACGTGTCTTTGGTCAAGATCCCCAAAGCGACTTAAATTAGACTATTAGAATTGACAGTAGACCATTGTACTTAGCTTTTAGATAACTGCTTTCTATAGGAGAATGCATAGCCCTGAGTTATTCAGTCTCCTTCTGTGATGCACAGGATCCTCACGATGGGAATTGTAACTGCCAGCAAGGAGCCGCCTAAGCGAGCTGGTATAAAACAGTGGGGACAGCTCTGTCCTACCCCTCTCCAAATCTAGCACATCAGTGCTGCTAAGAGCTGCCTGCCTCCATTCCAGTATGTTCATGCACGCCTTCTCTGAGGACTGTTTAATCAGAATTCTCAGCAGAGATCAGAACAAACAGCCCATGCCAGTGCCCAAGTAATTAAGACAGTCTGTCTCTCATGACATAAAACCTGACAGCTCTGAAAGAAGTTTGAGAGCTCCTTCTGAAGGCAGCCTCTGGTCGGGGGCTAGGGAGCACATCTCAGGCAAAATTTGGAATTGTGCCATGTTTTCCGGACATGAAACTCTGCATTTTTGTCTTCAACAAACATGATTGACGCTGTAAGTTTTGTGGGGCCCAAGCCAGTAGACATGCTCTGAGAAGCTTTTACCAGCCTGAGCCCTCCAGAAGCAATAGGACAGAAGACAGATGTGTTGCAAATCCCAGTAGGCCTTAAATATCATACAGTCCAAGCAGTCTCCAGACTTAGGTGTCCCCAAGCGTAATAAGAAGCGTGATTTACATAGCTGGGGAAGATTAATGTTTAAAGTTTAGATACCAAGACTAGAGAGCCACTGAACTGGGTACTGACAGTCCACGTTTTTAAAAGGAGCTCATATGTTTCATATGCAAAATCTGTCAAGGATCTATGGAAATCTGGACCTTGCACTAATGTCTGCATCCCATTCCTCAGCCAAGCTATTTTAGGTACTTTCAGGATTTTTGCAGTCATAAAAGTGAATCTTTCATTTGTGCAGATTGGCTGAGCCTCAGGAAGGGGTGAACATGAGAAGGGCAGAAGGAGGGAAAGCAAAGTGTAACCTTCCTTCAGGAAGGCTCTGTCTCAGCGGAGAAATCTTATCAATCCCATGGAGCCCTGCAGGCACCTGTAGCAGGCAAACAAGGAGCGCCTCTGCAATCACCACTGTCCTGGCAGTAGGCTGCAGAAAACTCTCAGCTTTTATCCATGTTTGAGTCTCAAAGATGAGCTGTGACTTTTAGAAAAGGAGAGCTCTCTTCTTGAGGCAAGCAGTTTACCCAAAATGCAAAAAAATTAAAAACAATGCCCTCAAATTTATAGTGCATCATTCTGAGGAAACCCACTTGCTGCAAGAGCCTCTCCCTTTCTTTAGTTATCGTATAAATAAATATCTTCCTTTCATCTGGAAGATACTTAACCATTTTTCATGCTGTTCTCAATTATAAATGAGAATGGGCCAAACCATAACCCCCACAACAGTGTTCAAGTGATCTTTTTCCATTATAATTGATATTTTAGATTGCTTTATAACTGCCTCAGCTATAAATTCATGCCCATTATTTGTAGTAAGTGCTAGCCTCATTTAAGTGTGTTGGCTGTATTCCCAGAATAATGCTTTTGGAAGGGAATCTGTTCATACTGGGAGAAGTGGGGGAGAGTGAGGGATGACCTACAGCCCTAAAAATCTCATTAATAATTAATTGTAGCAGGAGAAGATAGAAATCTTCTCCATAGTTAATCAAGGTCTCATCCCTTTAAAAACATGGTTTAGGCATGCACACACACACACACACACACACAAGAGGATTCCTCCTGCCTCTTCCAGACCAAACCAGCCTGTTTGTCAGTTCAGGGGCTGGCAAAGAGTAAATTTACAGAACAGCTGAGCTGTGCAGCAGCAAGAGTGCAAGGAATGCAGAACGGGCAACCGCTGAGACAGTGGAGTGTCTGGGAGGAATGTATTTGTATCCTGAATAAAGATATCAGTGTATGTCCCCAGTGCAGCCAGGTCAACACTATCAACGATTCGCTTCTGTAGAGCCTGGGAAGGACTCTGTACGTTCCCTGCTCCATACATGCACAGTGCCAGACTGCCTGCATCCTTCCTTACTGGAACCATCATCTTGGTGACCTGAAGGGCTCTAGAAAAAGTATGAGCTGCTTCTCTGGCACAAAGCTACCCAGCTCAGTAAATGGCTTACCCACCTCAGCTGTTCTACCTGAATGGCTCTGAGACCCCTCTCTCCTCCAGGTAGCTGTATACTTTTACCTTGACCCTTCAAGAGCAGCCCTCTCCCATGCTCCTCCTGCAGCAGCCACTACTTTTCTTACTGCATTCCTTACGCTGCTGGGAAGGGCAGGGGAAGAGGCCAGGGACCGGGATGAGCTGTGGGCTCTAGTCCTACAAGAGCAGATGGTTAAAACAGAAGAGGTAGGCCTGTGACAAGGAGGCAAGGGAGTGCCCTGGAGAAGACCATCTCCTGCAGAGGTGTGTGGAGGGGCAGGGTGGGAACAGTGCCGAGGAAGATTTGTAAGGATTGCAAGGGCAAATGCTGCCACTGTTGCTGAGAAGGGCCACCCCTGCCTATGTGTCGTGACTCGTATTGTGGTAGTGATGGCAACATTGGAAAGTGGGTGAGCAAGAGGCTTGCCCAGACGAGGCAGCACTTCCAGCCTGGCACACTCCATGGGCTGAGAGTAGATGCCTAATCTGCTGAAGCCTTCCAGCCGGGTCTGCTCATGAACATGTGGCAGAGTAACATATGTGCTGTGGGCAAGAGAATGAGATCAGCTAGCAGGCAAGCTCAGCAATGGGAGGGCAGGGCTGGCAGTTGGGCAGCAAGTCCTGGATTGAAGTGCCTGGGTGAGTAGGTAGGCGGCTGCAGCCTGCTAGTTCCTGTGGGAGTGCGAAGCAGCTGAGTCACAAGTGGTTGGGTTTGCTGCCATTGTTGGCCGAGGTAAAAACTAAGCAAATAATCAAGGAAATTTGCAGTTATTGATGTCCAGTTGTTACTACAGTTGAAAACACGTAAGGGCAAAACAGGGTTTGTACAGCAAATGCCAGTCTGTCAGTTCCCAACTCTCTTGTGCTTGACTGGCAACCAAAGAGTGCTCTTCTAGTCCAGGTTATTTGCCTTTGAAATTTTAAATATTTTTCCCCACAGAAAAAAAAGCAGAAGGTAAATTTTCTGCTAGGGAACTGCAAATAATCCGCAAATTGCATCATCATCCACTTCTAATTTCCTGGATCACCACATGGGTTGCAGTTGTGTAAAAACCAAGATTATCTCCAGGACATGGCAGTGGACAAATGTGGTGGTCTGGGAGGAAGGATACCAAGGTCAATGGGAGTGCACCTTTTTTCTTTCTCCTTCTTGTCTGTCCCTGCAGCGGGATCAGAAAAAGCTAGAAAACACAGAAGCCATGTCTTGGGTCTTATTGATGGTTTCTCTCTCTGTCCTTCGCTTCCCTCCAGTACTATCTGCTGTCTGCCATTCTTCCCAGAGCACCATACACTCGTACTGGGCTTTGCCTAGGCTGTAGGCTGGGTTATCTATTTATAGTGTCTTGAGTTCACTTATGGTTTTACTGTGTTGCCAGAATTTCTCTGAGGAACGCAAGAGAAAGAAAATTATCCTTTGCAGCAGTTCATGTTGTAGAAAAATCTCATTAAATTTCAAGGGATGAAGACAGCTTCCATCCACTAAAGACTTTCCCCTGATGAATTGCAGAAGCATATTGCAAATAACAAAGGGGCTAAAACTTAAAAATACACCAAAGAAAAAAGCAAACAAAAAAATTGCCACAATAATGTTGTATGCCAGAAATCATTAGACAACTGCAATTGAAAGGCCATTAGCAACTCCCACTATAATAAAAGACATTATAATTGCAGTCTGAACAACTAGGGTGACACTTTCCACATTGTATATTTGTCTCCCATGGGACACATCTTGGCAGTGCTGTTTATTAATGTAGGTGATAATCATACAATGAATGACTGGATTGATAAGAGTATATTGAGAACAGATGATAAAAATAGCTAAAAGAACAATTCACATTATGTCTTTACTGGAATCCTTGAAAACAAACAGGAAGGACTTGTCTTTAAAAATTATTAAAAGCATAAAATAAAGATAGCCATAACATTTAGAGAAATTTGTTCCCATCAGGACTAATTCCAAGTTTCATATTTTTCTTGTGAGAGCAGGAATCTGTCCAAATCTGTGTCCAAATCACATAGGTAATTAGATATTGGGTAAAAGGTAGGTGTATCTCTCTGGATTGTAATAGCACTGATATTTGTCAAATTAGAAAACATACCAGTTTTAAATTAATGCTTTTTAAGGATATCGGCCAATTCCTCTTATAATTATTATCTTTTTTCCTTCTTTTATCATTTCAGTTATTCGGATGTTTCCTAGCCTGGGAGACACGAAATGTCAGCATTCCTACTTTGAATGATAGCAAGTACATCGGAATGAGTGTATACAACGTGGGCATAATGTGCATTATTGGTGCTGCTGTTTCATTCCTTACTCGGGACCAACCCAATGTGCAGTTCTGCATTGTTGCTTTAGTCATCATATTCTGCAGCACCATCACTCTCTGCCTTGTGTTTGTACCTAAGGTAGGTGAATTTATTTAGCGTGGGTCTGGATATTTTTCCTTCTTTTTTGTAATTGTAATTTAATACGCAAAAGTCCATTGCCTTTTCAAGTACAGGGGATGTGTGCGAGTTCTAAACCAAGCCCATCTATAATCTCTGGTTTCTGGATCCTGAGAGGAAGAACAAAGCTTCATGAGATTTTTGAGAAGGTGGAATATGCAAAGTTACAGGACTATGAATATATGCATTTCTAATGCCTAAATCTTTACTGAATCTATGACTGGGGAAACAAAGGTTGTTTTCTCTAATTTCAGTGGAATGGTCTCCATTTCCAACTTTTAAGAACTTTTTGGAAAGGGTGATAAATGGGGAGTCAGAAGGGATAGGTCCAGTTGTCTTCTCTGCCGTGTTTCTTGTGTACCCTAAGCAAGATAATCAGAATCTCTGCTTCTATACCTAAAAAACAGTAAGACCTTTTTAGTTCATTGGCACGCTGTAAGGTCAACTATGCTGAAACCTCTAATGTATTCAAGTATGATGGTACAATAGGCTTTATCAATACTTCAGAGGAAAACTGTATGCATGCTGCAAATGCTGGCACTGAAGATATATTTATTACTGGGTGTATTAATGGACTAATTGAGGCACAGACTAGGCGGCCTATGCTTTCGTTTCATTTTGCTCTTTTGGGCTCGAGCATGTGTTTTTTGTGTATTGTTGGAAGAACTGAGAAGACACCCACAGAGGGCTGGAACTTGATCACTTCACTTGCAGAGTTAAGCTTTAGACATCAGTAAAACAGATCTTGAATGAAGGGAAAACTGGTTTGTATGTAAGCTTACCTTAACAAAGCCTCTAGTTCTGGAGAATGTATTTGATATTTTGAAGTAAAATGTGTAATTGTATTCATTTTAAGTGGCTTGCATAAGCCCAGTTTATCACCCCAGATCAGATGCATATGTAGCTGGATGTCTGAAACATATGCAAGGCAAGAGTCAAGATGCAGGTCCTTTCACCTCTGAATCTGTTTTTAGGTTTTTCAAAAGAGTAGTGACAAAAAGGTTGTGACTCTTCAGTGGTCCATGTTCAACCAATGTATTGAGCAAATTACAGTGAATAGGTTCTGGTGCTAAGTGGCATCCCTGGTGATAGTTCTGACAGGGGGACCAAGAACTGTATGTGTAAAAGAAACAATTTAATACATTTATCTCAGAATGCTCCCTCTGAAAGGAATTAGAGGCACAGACTAGCAATAGAAGCTGACTTCTGATCTGCAAAAATGCAAAGTAATTAATTCTCCAGGACCAGCTAACCAGGATGTTTTTACAATTTCTGCAGCTCACTTCTCAAATATTAAAAAGCTGTACAGACATATATAGTCACATTTTTTATCTGGATCTTGGGGAAGAATCATAAATTCATTCTAAATTAAGGGAACATTCACAAACACAGCAATGGAGAGTACTTTGAAATACTGCAAGATTTAAGTGTGTAAGCTGTATGAAAATGCATATTAAAACTGATGCCAAAAATACCTCCACCGAATGTCAGAACTCTCTTCAAAGAGAAAATATTATTAATGCTGTGACGTGCTCTTCTGCCCCTTTGCTTTCATGCTCCTTTGCCCATCCTTCTTTTCTGCTGCCACAGGCTCTGAAATGACTTCTCTGTTTCCTTTTTCACCCCCTTCGTCTGCTCGTCTTTTAAACCCCAATTACCCTGCCCTCATTTTTCCTCTCAGTTCTTTCTACTCAAAATGCAAACGTGAACCATAGCTTTCTAGTGTGAAGTGCTTCATTTCAGTCTCTGTATTCTCAGGTTTCCAAACGCCTAGCTGGTTTGCATTAAAAATGGTCATTGGATAAGGTACAAAAAAAAGGGGTTGAGGCAGGAGCTGGAACGCAGCACTTCCAATGCGCATGTGAGTGCTTTCACTGCTGGAGAGTTCTTCTTCTTGCACTTGTATGTTTTGCCCTACATTTCTTTTCGCCATGCTTTGCCACAGTTACAGGTGGATGGCTGGCAAGCTCTTCTGCAACCTGCTCCAGCACCGGCTGCACAGTAGCCTGTTTGGACCCTGCAGAAGATTAGATACGACACCACCCAGTTTGTACATCTAGACAAGATGTCAGTGTGAAACTGGCACCAAATCTCTCCCTTTAAGAAGTATGTAGTCAGTCAGTCAATTTAGGTGACAGAGGAAGATTGCTGATAAAATACTAAAGCCTATGGCTCATCAAACGCAAGAGATGAGAATGAAGACTTGGAAGATTGCACTTTTTAGTTTATTAAACTGTGGCCAGACAGATGCAAGCAGTAAAGTGGTTTTGGGTCAGGTGAGTACTTCTACTCTGCCCTATGGAGTAAGACACATTCCTTTTAACTAATCTTCAGCAACCTCCTGGGCCGACAGTGCTGGAATTCAGTTTTGCCCCACAGCCCTTTTATGAATCTGAATAGGCAACTCTTCAACGATGTAAATGAACAAAACATGACCTTTTCCCCTTACTTCTTGACAGCTCTACTAATCTTATTTACCTACAACATGGCAATTAATATACTTCTCCAGTTAAAGGTCCATATCACCCACTGCCGTTTCATTCAGCACAAAGTGCCTCAGAAAAACATAAGTAAAATCCCATAGTACCTGAAGATAGATCAAGGAAAAAATGTTCATTGCTGTCTCCATTTAAAGGTATGCTCAAATACAGAAGTTGATATCCATTATACTGCATCCTACTTACAGTAACTGTAGACATTCTTGTTATCCGATCAAAAAATGTCCTAACATTTTTAAAACTGTTATAGATTTCTGGGTTCAAGGATATGTTGTAGAAGTGATCTGCAGAATTCAAACATACATTATGTATGTTTTTCCTGGTAAAAGTTAACTGCTACGTCTGATTATCTTTTTAAGGGTCAACATGTCCATAGTATTTTTCAACATACTCATCACTTTTTTAAAAGAAGCAATCCTAATATGTATTCTCTCATCATGAAGTAATTTACCAATGTATATCCATGTTTATCAAACTTCCATATCCTTCCTTTTTTTCTGCTCCATTCCTTTTGAGATGGAACACTGAGCTCACTTCCAGTCACCCACCAAGTGCATGCCATCATTGGCTGCAATGGCGTTAACACATTCATTGTGATCCGGTCTCCTGTAGAGCAGTCAAGGCAAAACCAGTTCTAGGGGGCCAAGGTTAAAACATTAATTTTCTGTGTTGGTAGCATTTTTTGTCTATTTGGCATTGACTCTTTGTAGATATTCAGCGTTGACTCTTTGTCAAAATTGAAACTGCATGAATGTGAGGCAGCGAGACTGAAGTTCCACTGAATTTATGACCAGAAAAAAAGAAAAAATCTCATATAACCTCATCTCTTGTACAATGTGAGCCAACAACATTGCCGATGGACTTTTCCACCTAATCCACACCATATGAATGAATTAATTAGAGCCTATGTCCTTGTGGCAAAACATCCAGTCTTCAGCTATAAACTCCCAGATGAAGATGAGTCAGTTGATGGATGGCTGTACTTCTGTCTTGTATTCAGTCTGAACTTTGATCACATCAAACTGCAGAGCTTTTACCTTGTAACACTTTTGCCTGCTAATTTAAGAAGCCTTGTAATTACTGGTTTTCACCTTTAACTTCATTTTAATGCAGTTTTTGGTCTGGAAGTTAGACACACCAGTCATTACAACCAGCCTAATTAGAATCAAAGAAATGAGGCAGAGGGCTCTAGGCAGACTCAGCTGCAGCAGGTTATTCAGGGCCTTGACCAGCTGGATCTTGATTATCTCCAGGGTTGAATACTGCCCAACCTCTCTGAGCAGCTATACCAGCGTTTGACCATGCTTACAGTTTTTTCTGATGTTTAAATGAAATTTCCTGTTTTGAAATTTGTGCCTCCCTCCCTCTCATTGGGCACCACTGACAAGAGTCTGGCTCCATCCTCCTTACTCTCTCTCAATACATATTCATACACATGAATAATGCACCTTCCCCCCCCTTCCCTCCCCCCCAGGATCTCTCCCACTTCAAGGCTAAACAATCATCAGCCTCTGCTTGTATCATAAAGGCTCCAATCCTTTTCAGCATCTTTGTGGCCCTTCACTGGGCTTTCCTCGGTATGTCGATGTCATTTGTACTGGGGAGCAATACTCCAGGTGTGCTTTCAGCAGGGCTGAGTAGAAAGGAAGGATCACCTTCACTGTGGGTCATGTTCCCCTTGGTATCCACCACAATCCCCAGTGCCTTTACTGAAAAGTTACTTTCCAGCCAAGTACCCACCCAAACAGGCTGAGGGGTTTCTTTCTCCCCAAGGGCAGGACTTGATATTTCCCTTTTCTCAGCTTCAGGAGATTCCTTTTGGCCCGGATCTCCAGTCTCTTGACATCCCATTGAATGGCAGCGCCGTCACCTGGTGTATCAACCCCTCCTCCACCTACCTGCTGAGGGTGTGCTCTGTCCCAACATCCAGGTCACTAATAAAAATGTTAAACAGTATTGGTCCTAGCATGACTGGCTTCCACAATCCTTTGAGCCTGATGGTTCACTCAGTTTTCAGTCCAGCTCACTGGCCACTTACCTAGTCACTACTTCATCAGTTTGAGTGTAAGGACATTATAGGAGACAGTGTTGAAATCTTTGCTGAAGTCGAGAAAAGTAACTCTCCTTTCATCTACCAGCCCAGACATCTCACTGAAGAAAACTATCAGGTTGATCAGGCAGGATTTCCCTTTCGTAAATCAATGATGACTGCTTCTAATCACCTTCTTGCTCTTAATGATTGGAAATGGTTCCAAGGATTATTTGCTGCAGCACCTTCCATGAACTGAACTGAAGGTGACCAGGCAGTATTTCCCCAGATCCTCCTTCTCACCTCTCTTGAACACAGCTGTAACATTTCCTTTTTCCCAATCCTCAGGAGCCTCTCCCAGTCAACATCACCTTCCAAAGGTAATTGAGAGTGGTCTCGTAACGACATCGGCCAGCTTCCTTAGTCCTCAGGGATACACATCGTCAGGCTGCGTGAACTTGTGTTCAATTGCCTTATGGGTCTTAGGGGTCTGGGATTTCTGAAGGCATATTTTACCAGTGAAGACTAAGGTGAAGAAGGCAGTGAGTACCTCAGCCTTCTCCACCTCCTTTATCACCTGAAAAAGGAAATTTATTGTCTTCAAGCATCATCCCAATGTGCAAACTTGGTCTATAAATACATGCCAGGGACAGAGTCCTTCCATGTCTGATCGGTCAGATCTCTCTCTGTTAGAAGCTAGGTCCTTATTTCATGCCACTGCAGCTGCAGAACAGTTTCATGCTCTAAAGAACAATAGGAATCAGTTCCAAAATGGAGCTATATCACAAAACCTGGCTGTGCTGTGCTTGCAAAATGATTGCTACTTCTCTCTTTTTGGACAACTCAATACCTTTGAATTTATGATGCCATGCCTATGCTCTCAGGGCAGGGAGCTCCTTCAGCTTTGTCTGTGTACAAATATATATGTATGCTGCTTGGCAAGTAATTGTAAATTCTGTGTTCTCTAGAGAAATCTGCGAAGCTCTCTCCCCCTTGCCAAGTAACTAGTAGCTTTCTCTGCTCATGTCAAAGTGATATTTTCATGTTGTCACGGAGTGTTAAATCTTACTTATCTTTGCTTAAATTAAATATGTTTAAGATTAACCTTTTTTTAAATGGCTTATTTAATTTATTTGAACAGATTTGCTTTATTTTGGGTCACTAAAACCTAATTAAGTTTCTGTTATCTCCTGAGTGCAATGTCCGATGAGTTCTTTCTGTTAATACTCGTGCTTCATGACTCTCTGCTTGAGTGTTACTTGTAACAGTAGGAAAGGAGAAGTTTCAGATGAAACTGTGCTTGGGAAGAGAAGGGCTTAGTGAGTTGTTTTTTCCTTAAAGAAGGACTGTATCCTTTGAAAGCATTAAGATATCAATGAAGGAGAAAAAAATGTTTTATGAAATATTAAAATATACTTTAATGTAATTAAAATCCAGTTAAATATATTTTAAAAGAGATTGTCTTAATTTTTTTGAACACTTCCCTTTGCAAAATCACTTTGGTTCAACATATTCTGTAAAGTTATTCAGAAATCATCTCAAGTATTGCACGTGGCAAGCAGACCTCACTTTGAGAATTTTGTACTTGAAAGTCGGAAAGGAACTCTTGGTTTGCCTTTTGCTATTTTGAGGTACAAAAAAAATAACTGCAAAAATAAAACCACAGACAGCATTTCTTAAGGCTTTTAAACCTTTCAGCTCATCACACTGCGGACAAATCCAGATGCAGCCACACAGAACAGACGATTTCAGTTCACTCAAAATCAAAAGAAAGAAGACTCAAAAACATCAACATCAGTCACCAGCGTCAATCAGGCCAGCACATCTCGACTAGAAGGATTGCAGTCAGAGAACCACCGCTTGAGAATGAAAATTACAGAGGTATTGTCTATTGTATATACTGCCTAGGCATTTTTTTATTGTTGTTGCAATTCTGTAATCTGCTTAAATTTTGACTGCTTTTTAGAGGAAAAAAATAGCTTTTCCCATAGAACTATTGAAATAATAGGAAAGAAATGTTTTGTATGAATAGCTAATTAATGAAGTCAATACTTAGCAGGTGTGATAAAATGAAAATGTGCCTTAACAAATTAAAATGAAACTTCCCCTATTTATTTGTAACAGGCAAATTACCCTGCTGCTTCACATGGGCATGCTGAGCACCACAGAGCAGTAGCTCTAGAAGTGCAACCTTTACATGCAAGCAGAACAGATACCCACAGCCCCAGGGGCACTTAAGAGCTATCTTTGTTCCTGTTTACGGCTGAGTTCCAGAGAGTGCTGTTGCTGTTATTTCTCAACCTCTCTGAGAGTTCACTCAAAAAAATTGCTAGACAGATTTTTATATCTAACATGAAAGAGAATTACACGTATTCTTAAGGTAGAAAAGACCTTTATCATCATGTAAGCTGACCCTTTTTGCACAAAGGCCGTGAAGGTTCTTCAGTCTCTACTGAGAGTAAAGATAAGTACATGGACTGTATGAATTCCATTAGAGCTATAATATGCATACTTTTAATTATGTCCAACCTTGCTCAGGAGACCATAAACGATGACAAATCAACCTTGAAGACTGCCCATTTTGTGAGACAAGATAGCCATAACTGATCTATATCTTATTAAAAATTAACCTGTTCTTGCCTAGTCTATGAAGTATTCTTATACCTTGAAGAAAAGGTATTTTACTGCAATCATTACTTCATCCAGATCTGAACTAATGACAATTGCCTAGGTAACCAAAAGGTGTTTACTCATACTACCAAAGACTCCAAAAGCAAAATTTGTCTCTGCCCTGTCAAAGATGTTTAGTTCAGCTTTGCAAAGTGTCTTTAATGCGAGAGCCTTGAATTTTTTAATGAAGGCTCAGCTGGCTCCTGGCTATTTCAGTTTCTTTATCCTCCTGTAGTTTTTTCTACTAAGCCTCCTAATTCACAACATCTCAGCCAGTGCCTTGCAAGGCCCATGACAGTGATCACAGGTAAGGCTGGTCAGAGCAACTGAGCCATATTAGTGCATGCAAGGCCCTGCTGATCTTTTTAGACTTTGCTTAAAGAGATTAAATCAAATACCCAGAACCAGTACTCCAAATCAGAGTTTCATTGTCAAGGGGATTTGGAAGTTGCCCTACCATGGCTAGCAGCTACATTTCTGGCTTATCTACCTTGAGTTTCTATGTCCCAGTGCTCTAAGGAAACAATCTGAATCTAAATTCAGCACTTTTAAAATTTAGTTAAGCCAGTAGGGAGTGGGACGTACTCTGGACACTGCATCGTGAACAACTGTTCACAGAGAGCATCCCAGATCACCATTCAGATGCTTGTGTCTGGTTATTTTCTACTGGGACTGTAGCCAGCTGAATACAAGTTAGCCTCTGGGGAGAGCAACTGGTGTTCAGCTCAGTGCTAAAAGCTAGGGGTGCACCAACTCAGCATTTCTGCTGCGGCTCTTGCACTCAGAAAACATCTGTGCTTCTCTCCCTCTAGTCTTAAAGGATGCTCTGGGGGAGAGAGAGGACTGGGACTCTTGTTTCTTTCCATTCTTCATATTTCCATTTTTTTCCCTCTTGGAAAGTTATGCTTGCAATGGCAGTTTAGTGCTAGCTATCAGATTACACAGTTTAAGATGCAAACGGTACAAAACATGGGGGTAATTTTCAAATCACAAAAGTATAGAGTGTTCTCAACCCCAAAATAGAAAACTGTGAGTTGGATTTTCTTTGAAATTTCACACACACAGAGACTCAAACAAGAAGTCTAGCAGGATTCTGTCTCTCTAAGAAAGGTAAAAGGAGTAAAAATAATCTTTAGGAAAACAAAACATTCCTGGTAGAGTTGACTGCAGTCACTCACATGGCTGGACAAGTCCCTGATGCCATAGTTCACTTAGATTGTCTTGCATGTTCAGCAATTTGATTGACTCAACAAAATGGTTATAGCTATGTATGCCACATTTGTACACATAAAAAATAAAAGTTGAGATGTTTTCAGACTGGACTTTCTAATGCCCAATCCTTTCTCATTCAGCAGTACATCTGAACTGCTTAAAGTGTCAACTACTGAAGCTTATTCTTCTTGCATGTCCTGTGTGCAACACCACAGCTGAACATGATTTGTTACTTGTAGAATGATTTTTAGAAGTAGTGTTGCAGAGTTATAAGAAAACTGTATTTGGCACAGTGTGGCAATTGCATTGACACCTGCCTTCTAGTCTAATTAGAGAAAACTGTGCAGTTACTGCAGATACCTGAAGCAATGAGTCTTGATTTTTTAAGGATTCGTACTTTTGCTGTTTTGCAGCTGGACAAAGACTTGGAAGAGGTCACAATGCAGCTTCAGGACACTCCTGAGAAAACAACATACATCAAGCAGAACCACTACCAGGATCTTAATGACATTCTTAGTATACGGAACTTTACAGACAGCAAAGGTGAGAGTTAGTAAAACCCATTAGCAGCTTAACCCTCCAAGATTTTGAATAGCAATCTCATTGGATTGGTTCCAGAGCACTCGGACCTTGGTGAGATAAAGCTTTAAACATTTTTGTTGCGTTACAGAAAGCATGCACATTCACATAATAAACTATATGCTACCCACTGAATAGTTATTTCTCTGTACTATTGAACTCTGTTCTATTGTATGCCCTATGTGTATAATACACATGGTAATGTGGGAAACTTTTAAAAGTGTTCTTGGGTTCAGAAGTCAAGTTTTCTGTGCTGCATGGAGGGAGGAAAGTCACAGAGTGTTTCAGATCTTCTGAGAGTTAACTGTGCCAGCCTTCAGCAGTAGGAAGCCCAGTTTAATTCGTGCTCATCTCACTAGGATGTTCAAATCCTGCTTTTGGACACTGCTATCAAGGACATAGAAGAGAAGCACGTAAATATTTCAGTGCTGATTTGGACTCTAAATGTAGAATTGAATGCACTCGTGTATGAAAATTCTTCCCTAGGAACTGATAAAAAGGGAATTCATGATGACTGTAATATTCCTAATTTGTTTCTACTGTGTCTCTTGCATATCTCCCTGAAGAAATATATGCAAAAGAATTGCTTCCATTAAAGTTATTTTACTTTTGGGAAGCAGTAAGATCTGGTGCATAGTCCAATAAAGTGGAAGCCAGGACACCCAGCTTCCATTTCTTCTACTTTGTGACTTTTGGCAAATGACTTTGTACAGCTGAATATTACTATAGTAAGTGAAAAACTAGTTGCCCCATGTTGGGAAGTCGTAGACTTGGATGTTTGTTTGCATGGTAGGCCCAGGCTTCTTATTGATTGTGGCAGCATCAGCTTAGTTAAGTGGAGCAGAAGGTACTTCTGTAAATATAGTTGTTAAAGAATAATTTTAGAAAAACAACAACAGTTCATATATGCTTTTGAAGTGTATCGAAATTTGGGTTGGATAAGGTTATTTTTTCATGTGTCTTTTGTTTTAGCCTGGGTATACACTCAGTTGTGTAACTTGTGGGGAAAAAAAAAAAAGAAAAAAGGAAGAGCTCCATAGAGTTCCCAGTGTCCTTTTTAAAATTAAAAAACAGAAGGGGGGAAAGGAGGAAAAGGAAAACGTAAATAGCTGCTGGAGGCGTGTGATTATTGGGCTGAGATCAGCAGCAAGAGCTAACATCAGTGAGTGGGATGAGGCAGTTTTACCAAGTGTTTGAAAGGAACACATAGAATGTTCCACTCATCAGATGCTGCAGGAAAATGATAAATCATGAATAATATTTCAAGCAGAAAAGATACTTTACAGTTTGCCAAATGCCCATCTGAGTTTGGGTATGAGAAATAAAAATGATCCTCAAGAGATACGCTGGGTATAAATTTAGGACTGGATGCTTCCCACAGCAGGTTGCACTCCATTAGCAGTAGGATGCTGGCAAAGAAATCAAGGAGAAAATATAACCTTTCTGCACTTACTTGTGGCTATATCTACAAAAGACATCAATGCCTAACTGCTGCTTTGTGCACCAGCATCCAAGATTGTCTGTGTTCCTACATTTCCCGCAGTTCCCTAACATCTACATTTCTGCTGCAGGGTATATATTTAAAATCACCTGTACATACTGAGCCTTAATGTACTGGTTAGCTTGGAACTATCTACTATTGGGATTTACAGGGCAGATATTCTTCTGCATACTGAAGCTGCCAAACAGAGTTTTCTGAACAGACCTATCACATAAAGCTCTGCACAAAAGAGGAGGGAAGGAAAAGAAGAATGGTGGCCACCTTTATATTGAATAGGTTAGAGCATCCATTGACCTGGGAATGAAGATGACCTGGATCCAAATTTGCAGCAAGTGTTTGAAGCTTGGTCCCACAGCTGGTTGTGAATGCCCCAAGCATGAATATTATGGAGCATCCTAATCCCTACCCAAGTGATATCAAATATTCATACTTTCTGGCTTTTAGCCACCATGTTCAACAACCCTTGCTAGCCTTTTTCTGTCCCTCCTTATCCATTTCTTCTGTCTCTTGTTTTCTCCCTCTCCCGGTTTCCCTCTCCCTTAGCTACATGTTTGGATCTCCTCTGTATTTGTCTCACTGCATCCATTCCCAATAGTCAACCTATGTGCTTAATTTAAATTTGCCATTCCAATTAAAATAACAAGGCTTTAGAGAATTCATGCTGCTGAGTCACTGCTGCTTCTGTGCACATGCAAACAGACATCACTTAAATGGTACTTAAAAAAATTCTGTCCCTTATGGCTACAGGAAAGCTAACTCTGACTGACATAACTATGCTTTCTGTAGCTATGTATCTCATGTAACTTTCTGTAAATGAAAGTACAGAACCTTGAAATTCTGCGACCATGATGGTACTTGAGCGAAGCTTTGGAACTGTAAATAATTTATTATCATGACCTAGAAGTGACCATGTCTCTCACCTCCACCGTGCAACTGGGGAAGCCAGTCTGATGTTGTTTTTAAGGCGATGCAAGTTTTGCGCCTACCTTGGACCTTGTGAAAAATGTGATCTGAGAGAGACAGCGTAGGACATCAAAGAGAAGTGCTAAAAATAGCAGCTGACTTTGAGCTAAAAATCACAGCAGATCATTTGCCACATTTGCATTGTGGATATGGCTGAATCCTATGTCAATCTTCTTTATAAAATGCCTTGCTGTTCTGAGGGAGTTCACATAGAGAATGCAATGTAGTGTATCGCCATTGCTATTGCTTACACAAATTCAGGGCACTGCACTTCTGAGAACAGATAATAACACAGGACATATGCAATGCATCCGCAACAAGTCCTAATCAAACTTTAATGTCATAGTACACTTCAGTAGGTTTCTTACCTGTAAAAATTGTCCAGAGTTAAAATTCCTAACTCCCTTAGTCAAGTGCCAAAGGAGGTTATTTGATTCTTCCCTTCCTTCCCCACCACCCTCATTTACATCAAACATGAATTTAGGATGCAAAAGTTAAATTACTTTAGCCAAAATAGATAGACACAGCTGTGCACTGCCATAATCACCTGACCTCAGGCAGAGTTTCATAACTTTGGGGTCCCTTATTAGTTATTAACAGCCTCAGCTCCTGGTGTAGCCCAGGAGCCCTTTTCTGGCACGAGGACTCCTTCTTTACAGTACGTTTCAATTCAGTACATCTCATTTAAAAGAGAAATATTATCCAAGACACTCATCGCTTGTTCACAAGTGCGTAATGTCCCTGAGACATCTACAGCAATTGGCTGTGTAAGAAAAGCAATTAGGAAACATGCTTTGTAGTTTATGGTTTGATCGCTTTTTTTTAATGCAGGCTTTTGTCTGTGCTGCTAGATAGCTTTGCCTGGTCAAGCAGTTCCCAGTGTGCTACGTGGACCGTGGCTCTGGGACTTCACATGGCTTCTCCAGCTGAATTTAAAAGGGCATCCCCTTAACTTCTTTTGATAGATTCCTCAGATGGTCTTGGGTCACTGTGTCTGCTAGCGACCTCGGCTCTGTGCGCAGTACAGCATTGGCTTCTTCCCCAGCTTGCTGTTTGGGAGATCTGGTCACCTTGCCGAGCTGCAGAGCCACTTTGCAGCCCGGGTCTGAGGCTGTGATGGGCTGTGGGTGAGACCCACGCTTGGCTCAGGCGGTTGCTGTGACTGGCAGTGTCGTTCAGCAAAGAGAGCCAAGCTTGGAGATTAGGCTGATTTTTCCAGGCTGACATTTGAAAAAAAGGAGGACAAATGCCTGCAAAGGCGATGCTGTTTAAAGAGGAAGGTTGTGCCGCACAGCTCAAGGGAGGGAAGAAACACCTTGGCACGTGCACAAACCAGAGCTTCCCAAAAGGGCTCCCTCCACACATGTAGCCAGTCTGCCAAAAACAGGAGAGACTTCATGAAGGTAGAAGTTCCTGCAGAGATAAAAGTTGCTGAGGAGAAAAATACAGAGGGAAGATACTATGTGGTTTGGCAGGGCTGGATAATTTTGTTACGCTTGGAATCTGACTATCTTACTCTATTTGAATTTTATTTGACATTTTATTACATGAAATTATTTCTACTTGAATGATTCATAAATTGCAATAGTTTCATATAAAGCCAGCCTCAGAAGAAATTCTGCAGAAGAATCTCCGTTTATTTCTACATTCACCACTGCCTTTCAGAGTAGTGTATTAGGGAAATTAATGAATGACAGCCATCCTATGGAGAGTACCTTAGAAGCAAGAGACAGCCTTGCAATAGACCCCACTTATGAACAAAACCTTTTTATAAGTTCTCTCTCTGCAGGCACCCTTGCTTGCTCAGACAGCCTTTTCTGTTTTGAGCCAGAAAACAGTCTTTACTCATTGCTGTAAATGGACTGGGAGCATTCATTTGCATGTCAGATATGCCTACATGCTGTCAGTTGTCACCCCACTCCAATGTTTCCTTAGTGTTGGTTTTTCACCATATAAAAGCAGCTCAGAGAAAAACAGATTTCAAAAGGCTTGTTGCTCACAAAGGTGAAGCAAAACAGAGTTCATCTGTGGTAGAGGGGGGAAATATTATTTCTGTGAAGCTACTGTGATTCAAGCATAAAGCCTGAGATTGAAACCACAGATTCAACGGAAAGGCTTTCAGAAAGAACTTCTTTAAAGGAATGCTGTTTTAAGGAAAGGATATAGTTCATTATATCTCTTTTATATAAAGATATACAGAGATAGGTATACTAGTTTCTACAAAGCCTAGCAAATGGATTCCAGTCCTGGAATCGGAGCTGTTTTCTATTTCAACAGGAAGACAAAACTTCCAGAGGTTCAGTGCCTGCCCTTCCTTGCACAGAAGTAAATCCGTAATAAAGGGAGATTCTTCTGATTTAAAGTAGTATAAATCAGAGGAAAATCTTGCTGGCTTTTCTTTTTAAAAAATCTTCCTTCAAAACGTATCTGTCTGGAGTTATGATTCAGACTGCCTGGTGCTATGTGCTTACTTCAGAACGTTCTCTGATAGACCCAGCAGATGATGTGATCGTTTTAATTGTTCTGTTCATTTTACTTTCCTTTCATCCTATTCACGTGAAAAGCAGAAACTGGCTACTCATGTTTCACAGTCCAAAAAACAGAACTGTGAAAAAGTACAGTAGATTTAAAAAATCTACCTCTAGGTTTAAAGTTTCCAGAGTTTTTTTACTAAATCAGCAAGGTTATCTCTGACAGCTCATAGAATTCATTAATAAACCACACTTACTTCTTTGTGGAGTGTAAAATATGCTTTCTAGCAAAGAGAAAACAACAGTGGAATTGAAAGATGTGGGGTGAAGAGTGGTTCTGCCATCTAGTTGTAAGCTATCAGAGGAATATTGCCACTAAAGCGTAATGATGAAGATGTTCAATAAAGCTGCAGTGTACAAACGCCAACAAAACAAGCTTCTAGTTAAAGAAATACAGTTTCTAAAATCCTGGAAGAAACTGCAGCAGTGGCAGTCACCTGGTGCATTCTGCCTGCAGCTGAACAGGAGTCATTAAGATGCGTGACGCGTTTGAGCCAGCCCAGGTAATTTTGACAGCACCGGGTTGTGGCACGATTATACGTACAGTGGGTCTGAAGCCAGCGTCCCCCCTGGCCCTGGCCGGGGGAGAGGGGGGGGGCTGGGAGCAGCCCCCTCCTCGCTGAGCCTCTCTGCAGCCCGCATTCGATGCGCTCTTGCGTCTCAGAGCTTTGTAATTGGAAGTTGTTTCCCTGCTGCAGGTAGGCAAAAGGTACTGAGCTAAAGCCTTCTGGCTCTTGCTCACAACTGGGCAGCGGGTTTTGTTTCCTAATGAACCCATCCGCAAGTGCTGTGGGAGGCTCTTGAGATGTATTTGCCTTTTTTCCCCGACGGTTTTCTGAATGGAAAGTGCTCAGGCATCACTTATCTAGACTTCTGAGTTCCGGTTTGAGGTCTACGAAGGTGAAAATTACTTAGAAAGTGCTTCTGGCTAATGTAAATTCAATTTTGAAGGTAGTTAGATCATCCCAGTGAAACTTATTCTGTAGCATCTGCAGTGGCAGACAGTGCCCTGAGAACGAAGGGCGTTTTTCAAGTAGTATACTTAATCGACAGAGGAAGAAAAGATGAGTAAGTACTAAAAGCAGTGTTATACTTTCCTGTGGAAACTGGGAACTCATATATTTACCATTACCCATAATTTATTTTCTTTTAGTTGCTCAAATATACAAAATCAGTTTCCTCCATCCGTAAGTTTTTTAAGTGCATATGGTGGTAGTCTTTTTTCTTTAAGCTCCAGCTCCTGGAAGTGTATGACTAAGTGAGAATCTTGCTCTTCGTTATTTAAATGAAAGGTAAATGAAAAAAAAAAAAAAAGAAGAAGAAAAAGAAAAAAACCTAGAAACATATTCTAGTTTCCATAGCTGCAGAATAAAAATCTAACAACTCATCTTCCAAAAAGCTTAACAAATAAGAATTACCCAACTTTGTTGTATTTTGAGAGAAGCAAAAGGGAAAGAAAAAAATCTCAACATTGTGGCAGTTTTATGTGGATTTTTGCTGTATTTTCTGAACCTAGTATATTAAAAGTTGTATATGGTAACCTTGTATACAGAAATGTATGCAGTGCACTAAGGGAGAATCATCTGCAAGAGTGGTAGAAAAGGTCTAATTAAGAATAACACACAGTGATATATGGGCAGTTGGTGTTGAGGGATGAGTAGGCAGAGAATATATGATTTCTGCTCTACTTTAAACTAAATCCCCCACCTTTTTGACAGGGACAACCTCCTTCTCTCTCTCTCTCTCACAGCACAACTGAAAGGACAAGAAACCCCTTCAGGGGCATACAACACAGATTAATATATGAAACCACAGACTCCCAAAGCCCAACAGTTGCCTATTCCAGTCATCTGATGAAGAATTGTATCTTCAGTGGCTTTGTAGAAGGTTAAATTGTTTCTCTTGACCAAAGTAGCTGGAATTCTAAAATAGTTAAATAATCATAGAATCATAGAATCACTAAGGTTGGGAAAGACCTGTAACATCATCAAGTCCAACCATCCACCCAACACCACCATGCCAACTAAACCATATCCTGAAATGCCACATCTACATGTATTTTGGACACCTCCAGGGATGGGGACTCCACCACCTCCTTGGGCAGCCTGTTCCAATGCCTGACCACTCCTTCAGTAAAGAAATTTTTCCTAATATCCAATCTAAACCTCCTCTGCTGCAACTTGACGCCATTGCCTCTCGTCCTATTGCTAGCTACCTGGGAGAAGAGACCAACACCCACCTCACTACAACCTCCTTTCGGGTAGCTGTAGAGAGCAAGAAGGTCCCCCCTCAGCCTCCTCTTCTCCACACTGAACAGCCCCAGTTTCTTCAGCCGCTCCTCATAAGATTTGTTCTCCAGACTCTTCACCGGCCTCACTGCTCTTGTCTGGACACGCTCCAGCACCTCAATGTCCTTCTTGTAGTGAGGGGCCCAAAACTGAACACAGTACTCCAGGTGCGGCCTCACCAGTGCCGAGTACAGGGGCACGATCACCTTCCTACTCCTGCTGGTCGCACTATTCCTGATACAAGTCAGGATGCCGTTGTCCTTCTTGGCCACCTGGGCACACTGCTGGCTCATGTTCAGCCGGCTGTCAACCAACACCCCAAGGTCCTTTTCCGCTGGGCAGCTTTCCAGCCACTCCTCTGCAAGCCTGTAGTGTTGCATGGGGTTGTTGTGACCCAGCTGCAGGACCCGACACTTGCACTTGTTGAACCTCATAGAGTTGGCCTCGGCCCATCAATCCAGCCTGTCCAGATCCCTCTGCAGAGCCTTCCTACCCTCAAGCAGATCGACACTCCCATCCAGCTTGGTGTCATTTGCAAACTTACTGAGGGAGCACTCAATCCTCTCATCCAGATCATTGATAAAGATGTTAAATAATAAATAAATAATAGACTTTTTCCATCCCTAATTACAAACATTACTCAAATTTTAACTTTGGTCTCTATCATAAAGTCAGCAGTTTACATTGTCAGCTTCGATCAGCTCAGGACTCAGCATGGTTTTTAATCATGGAAGTAAAAAGTGTACTTTTCTACGTGTCTGTTTATAGAAATCACAAGGCTTTTATGCAAATGTCAAGCTCAATATTCATAGAAATGTGATATATGGAAAATAAAAACTGAACTCTTGTGACAGCAAATGCCACACCAGCAAACTCCAGGCTGCCCTGAGATGATAGACTTCATTGCTTATCTTAGCCACTGTCAGATTCAACTCTTTGCTGTCCTCCCTTCGCATCTAAACCATCACTGAATCCTGTCATATCTTCCTTTTAAGCATTCATCTTGCTACAACTGAATTTCTTAGCTCTCTTTCACTGACATTTTCTTGCCACAGCAGAAGCAGTTTCATGTGTTCTGGTCACCTCCTTTCTCACCCAGACTCCTGTCTACCATGCAATATAAGTGAAAAATCTTCTTTCCTGCTCCTCTGAGCTGTAGCAATCCCTACCTCTCCACATTTGTGCATCCTCACCTATTCACTTCTTTCTAAGTTGCTTGTTAGATTTTTCACAGCGCAAAGTGAATGCTACAAAATAATGCCAGGGCTGACAGTGCTGGAAGGGCAATTATATGTGTTGGATTTTGCCCTCGAAGCATTCCTGTTTCTGCTTCCGGCTTCTGTCCTCACTCTTTGTTTCTGCTGCTTGTTTTGTCCCACCAGTGCTCGTGGATAACACATGTATTCCTAGCGTGCTGAGACCTGAGCATTTCAGGGGGCTTCTGAGTGTTAGTAGAACAGAAAAGCAGCTTAAGCCTTCAATAAGCACTCAGGTTTTCATGCTATTTTCATTTTCTCTTCACTATTTTCCTGCTTTCCCCCCTCATACCCATTTTTACATTCAAATCCTCCAGTGTCCTTTTCCAGATTTTACCTTGGAGTCCTCTTCCATGCTGCCTTAATGCCTGCAGCAATCACTGTTTCTCTGTGTGTGTGGCAAACAAGTGCCGGTGATGGATTTGGAGCTGCTCTGTAATTATTTATGAAAACTGTGTGCTGTCCTCATTACTCAGATGTTTTCCATGTGACTTTATTTGGCTTAACACAGCAGGAGACTTTGGAAAAGCAGGCAGGAACAGAAAGGATCCCCCACAAAGACAGCCTTCTTAAAATGGCTGTATTTGTCCGCGTTTCTCAGGGGGACCAATGCCCTAGTCTTCAGCATGGCTAGCCAGGGACTCCGGGGACTCCTGGGGCAATCAAGTGAAGCTACCTACGGGGAAAATCACTATCATCTGCTACGTTATCACTATGCAGGAAAGAAAACTGCAGGAGAAAGCTTAATGAAATCATTAGCTGTCCTTCCTGCAGACAGCCTATGGACCAGTGCAACAGATACGAATCATATTTCTGTGCTAAAAGATAGCAGATAGTTAAATGGTGGCACTTAATTACTTATGGGATTCCAAGATTGGCAAGCTTGTATACATCAATGAGATTATAGCTTTTCTAGAAAAATACTTAGAGGTGGGTTTTTTCATAAGAAAAGGTAACATTTTTGAGTGCAAGATAATATGATGGTGCAGTTACATTAATTTTTTACATAGCCTAAGACTAGGTGAGAGAGGTGAGAGAGCATGATAGGGCTACAAAGAGGTGGGCAACAAGGTTTAGTTTGTGGGTTGTGTTTTTTTTTAAGGTAGGGAGGAAGCAAAGGAAAGACAAAAGAGGTTTTGTGCCTTTTCTGTTTCTTCATGGTAGTTCCTATGAAGGAGCACATCACCAAAAGCATGAGTATCAAAGGCTTACAGGGAAACCTCAGACTGTACTGGAATATAGGCAGACAGAGTTTGTGGCATTATGTACATCTGGGAAATTTTAAAATGAAACAATCTAAAAATGCTCACTCGGTCACAGTAAAATAAAATTGAATGTGTTGTCCATCCAGATGGTGAGAAAGCCATTCTGAAAAATCATCTTGATCAAAATCCACCAGCACAATGGGGCTCATCAGACCCTTCCAGAACAAGCAAAGATCCTATAGAAGACATCAACTCTCCAGAACAGTAAGTATGCACCATTACATACCAGTAGAGAAGGAGGCACCCCTGCTTGCTTGGGTATGCATGTGCTTGCACATGCACACTTTCTACTGTTTTAGCTATAAATTCCATCCTGGACACTAGCTGCGTTGCTGATAAAACATTAATTTAAATGATTACATTTCAACAAAACCCGTATTTCTCTTTCACGTTAGTGTAAACCCTTTCAGCCAGCCCCACCTACAGAGAAAGCCTGTACCATCATCAACAGAAGATATGAATGCCAACTCCTGAAACATCAGTGGGCAGCAACGTTGTACTGTGATGCTTCTCTGCCACCAATTCACCATCCCCACTAGATTTAAAGGATATCAGGAGCACTAGATGCTAAGGTGCCCCAAAGGCAAACTAACATACTTCTTTTGTCTTGTCAGAAACACCCATAGCACAATGTCTAAAGTTTCTGTAGAGAGTTACAGGACAAGCTGTGCCCAACCACCAATGTATGTTAAGAAGAGAAGAGGATGTACATATGTGCACACACACGTTACTACTGTTTTCCATAGTCCAAGTCCTTCCACACACCAGCCAGGTTCATGGCATAGATAGCCATTTTGTTTTCTTTCAGTCTTTAGCTAGCTGAGAAATAAAAACAGTCTTAGGGCTTTCAGTGTTACCATAGCAGCTGGACCCGAGTTTTGGCATAGGAAAACCTGCACCGAGTAGTTTTCCTTAGAAATAATACTGTGGCTACAAGGAGAGGATGGCACAAAGCATTTGCTAGATTCATGGAGGGGGGCGAGTCTTATGGCATTAGCTTTTCTCTCCGGGAACCTATATAATAAATTCATGCACTACCCTCTACCAGCTCAGCAGGGCCTGCCATGGGCCAGAGCTCAGGGAAGCGCCGTGCTCGTTTGTCCCTGGATCCGTCGTTTCATCAGGATCTGAGCTAATAGCTGCCAGCCTCCTGTTTTGTACACGGGCAGCTTAAAAGCTTATTTAAAACCAGAATAAATTGAACAAATTAGTAGACTGAGTCACATGTGACACCACTGAGAGCAAACCTGATTTCAGATAGCAGTTACTGCCTTGTACTACCTAGTGCAGGAAAATACGTGGACTTCTAACTCTGTCCTTGCACTCAAAAGAACCCAGACAAATCTGCGCAGGAGCTAATCCACGCACACATGCACATGTATGCACCGAAAAAGAGCCCCCAGTAGCTGAAATATCTGGTTATTTCACAAAAGCAAGGCTCTTGCTGGGAAAGCTCTCGTGACTTCATGGGATCAGCAGAGTGCTTTAATGTATAGCTATTAGAGGCTTGTCTTTTTCCAGCACCATTTGTCAGAAATGATGTAGTGTGAATGCAGCCACATCTGCACATGGCCCCCTTACATTAAGAGACACGCTAAGAAAAACACAGACACTCAGATAATCCAGTTGTCTCAATACAGATTTAATAAAAGAAAAAAAAGACATTTGGTGATGACAGAACCTCCTCTAGGCTAGTAGTAACTGATGAGAAGACTGAGATTTCCTGAAGGACTGAAAGAGCGGGTCAGTACAAATCTGAACAGTCAGTGACATTTATGGAAAACAATTAATAAAGTCCTGCTAAATGAAAACAGTGTCATTCAGCACTTGCACAGCCATGACTGTGCCAGGTCCAAGGGTCAATGTCTCCCTGAGGATGCATTGGCAGTTTGGGTACCAGAGCCGCATTGCCCAGGCACAGTGGACCTGCCAGGGAGGAGCAGTGTAGCCGTCTTCAGGACTAGGGTTTTGTGATTCTCTGACAAGAGATTGCCTCTTTCCAAACTTTGTGCTCTTTAAGAGTATCCTTCCTCATGCATGCACTTTTTTCCAACTTGTTATTATCCAACTTGTTAAAGATATCATTTTTGTAAAAACAAAAAAAAAGGGGGTAAAGACAAGCTGTAGTTTGTGCCTTCTCTTTGTCACTTTGCTGCATACATAGGGCATCTGGTAGAGAGGTAGTCACATAGTCTATGGAATCTATTTCTTATTCAAGAAAGCAATCTCAAGGACGTTAGTCTGAACAATATTTCCTCTTTGCCACAAGTCTATGACAGGAGGACGTTAGAACAGTAATTTGCCTGCAAAAATGTGAACTCTTTTTTGGGTGCAGCAAAAAAGAAGCATCCCAGCTTCCTGTTACTGAGAGCACTCCGCCGAGTTGGAAGTATGGAAGTTCTTGTAGAGTGCAGAGAAGAGTTTGATTCGAGTTTTTTTTCATTCTTTCTTACCACTACTGCTACACTTCACTAACTGCAAGTGTGATCCCTGAACCTACAATTGTGTCCAAAGTGAAGGCACAGCAGTATGCATGCACTTGAGGCCCAGTAGCACAGGAGCTTGTTGCACATGTGTTTTTGAGGTGCTGTTTATAGCATGTCAATTAGAATGTGAAAAACGTTTGTTTTGTACTTGGCTCAGATTTAAAACCATACACCTAAAGAAAAATGCAGTCTGTGTGACTGTAAAGCAGTCTTACAGCGTGACTGTAGGGCAACCTTAAAGCATGAGTGTAGATGATTCACAGTTCCCTTTGCCTCTTACTACCTTTCCTGCTGGACAAGACCAGATTATCCATGGTGTCACGTAAAATTTGCCATACCCAGTCAAATCATCAGACACAAGAAGCAAAAGGTGGGTGCTGGCTGCTTTCTCTCATGTTCACACTGGCTACACAGTGCAAATTAACACTTCCTACAGTAGACAAAGCAGTGCTGGTGCACAGGCTCAAGCCCTGTATTTTGATTTTCCATGGTGCTTATTAGAGTACGCCCTAGCACACTCGCATCAGCTTTTGCTTTCCCAGGTAACGCTCAGGCACAGTCTGGTATTTGGAAGCCCTGTTTGGGGGCAGGTTAGCTACATGGACGGAAGCTGCACCATGCCAGTTCATCTCAGGTCAAGAGAGCAGCCTGAACCAGTTTAGAATAAATGTAATAGTTCATTTCCCAGCAGGTGTGTCTCACACACAGTCAACTCCTTGCTCTTCCTTGGGTGTGTGGCCTGCTGGGGAAAACTGGCGTGCCTTATCTGGACACACTACCTCAGTACCAGTTTTATCAGTGCAGTGTGCTGCACCATTAATCAGGATGCTCTTTGTATTCCAGTCTGATAGTAACCTGCATGCTTATCTGATGATCACATCAATCAGCTTATCTGTACGGCGGCCACACGAATACATTCAAAGGGACATCTTCCGTGACCCTTAAAGACATTCCTCTGCGCCCCTTCATTCCTGCATGTTGTCCCATCTCATCAGTGACCTCCATTTGGTGAATTAGTTTTAGGCACCGTTAAAATTTATACTGTTCTCATATTAACAGTAACAATATGTAACACTCGTCCAGATCTCTGAGTAAAGGTGATGATAGATTTCTGCAGGAACCCACTAAAACCTGCCGTTTTGATAGACTATTTCCTATATGTGATGATGTTTGTAACCTTCAAAGCAGCTGATCACTGTGTAACCCTTGTAATAGAAACCACCTTGATTTTTTTTTTTTTTTTTTTTTTTCAGCTGAAGCTCTGCTTTTAGCAGCCTTTAAAAGAAAGTCAAATACCCTGCTGGAAACAGTTATGTCAATTTTAGTAACCAAAAATTCTCATCAAAAAAAGTTGGTTATGAGTGTATTATTGCATTACAGCCATATGCCTTGGCATAAACGTGTCTCTGTTACTCAGTTTCTTCACTGACAGTAGTTCACATTAGTCTATCTATTATCCTACTCAAATCTGTCATTAAAATAACGTGGATTTAGAATGGTTAGTTTACTTGCTAGTACAAAATCTTGCTTTATTGTAGGCTTTTAGAACTTCTCCAGCTTCCCAGCAGTTTCTAAATATCAACATTAACGGCCTGAAGTATTGACTGAAGTGATCCCTGAATGCTTAGACAGAGTTTACATACTCCTGCAGATCTTCAGATGTTTGACTGTAGCAGCAGTTGTTTCAGTCCCTCACTTACCAATGGATCTCATCAGTGGTTTTCTACAGCAGAACCAAAATACTTTTCAAATGCCTCTGCCCCTCTTGTAGCATCGTGCATTCCCATGTGCATTCTGTGCATTGCGTTGTGTTCCTATGTGCAGTGACATCAGAAGTCAAGCTTTTACTCGGTTTTATTTATCCCTAATAAATGGCCTCTCTGTACAGACCTGAAGATACATACCTTATTCTAACAAAGCACCCTGATGAGTGGGTGCTCTGTGTGTGGCACCACCTTTCCTTTCCATTTCCTGCAGCAGTTGTAGAAAACCACTAATACTAACGATTCACTCCCCAACATACTTGACCACATACATGTTTTGACAAACCTATATTGTATGGGCAACTCAAAACAAGTTCATAGAATCATAGAATGGTTTGGCTTGGAAGAGACCTTTAAAGGTCATCTAGCCCAAACCCCCTGCAGTGAGCAGGGACATCTTCAATGAGATCAGGTTGCTCCAACCTGACCTTGAAAGTTTCCAGGGATGGGGCATCTACTACCTCTCAGGGCAACCTGTTCCAGTGTTACACCACCTTCATTGTAAAAAATGTCTTCCTTATATCTAGTCTAAATCTACTCTCTTATAGTTCAAAACCACTACCCCTTGTCCTATCGCAACAGGCTCTGCTAAAAAGTTTGTCCCCATCGTTCTTATATGCCCCCTTTAAGTCTCTAAAGGCTGCAATTGGGTCTCCCTAGAGCCTTCTCCAGGCTGAACAACCCCAACTCTCTCAGCCTTTCCTCATAGGAGAGGTGCTCCAGCCCTCTGATGAGTTTTGTGGCCCTCCGGACTGCAGGACTCCAGGTGAGGTCTCATCAGAGCAAAGTAGAGGGGCAGTCACCTCCCTTGCCCTGCTCCCATGCTGCTTTTCATGCAGCTCAGGATACAGCTGGCTTTCTGGGCTGCAAGTGCACGTTGCAGGGTCATGTCCAGCTTTTCATCCCCCAGTACCCCCAAGTCCTTCTCAGCAGGGGTGCTCTCAGTCCCTTCATCCCCCAGCCTGTATTGATAGCGGGGGTTGACCCAAAAGTATTAACAAAATGTGACAGGGGTTGGGAAGGGGAAAACCACTGATACTGGAGGAAAGAAAAACCTACAAAGAGTGAGGCAAGGTACAAGACTTACTTTCACTTAAGGAGAAAATAGCAGTTTTGTTTGGATATTGTTACTTTTTTTGTTTCTTCTTGGTTTTCACCCAAAGACTTTCGCTTCAGCACTTAATTGTGTGTGAGTCTCCAGGCTATAGTCCTCCTCCCCAATTCCAGGAACCAAGTTCTCAAGTGAAAGTAAACTTTAAGTACAGTTCAAGCAAAATTTGCCACCCACTGCAGCCATCGTTGGCATAGCCAAATAAATGTGCTTTGTCCATGGTATGGCTAACACTTAAATGGGTGAAAAAAAATCCCATTCACTTGATTATGCAACTGGATTCCCTTGGAATAGCTTCAAAAAGCTCTTTAATGAGAAGTCTATAACAGTTGAACAAAGTAAGCATTTCCAGTGGTGGGAAAATAAGCGCAGGCAATTCTGCACTGACCCTGCATCGAGAGACAGAATGACAATCCGCAGCGTCAGGCTCATAAGGATTCAGCACATGGAAGCAGTGAGCCATGCCACCCCTGCACTCCTTGGGAACCGGGCACAATTTCTTTGATAGCACCCGAAAAAGTCGGGCACAGTAGCAAAATAACAATGAAAGGATTTTGTTTAATCCCAGGGATGCATTGCCGGTGCTACAATGAGCAACACTGTGGATTAATATTGCATGAAACTTTTAAAGGGACTTTGTGAGTGGAAAAAAAATAAGAAAGATCTTCCCAACTAGGCAGACTAACAACTATTTCCACTGCATCTCTGTATAAACAAGGCTGTTTGCAGTGAAGAAACTAAAGAGAAGCAGCATAGCTGTCTCCACTTTCTAACAAAAAGCAAAAAAGAAATGATATGTCATTTGAATCAGAAAGGCTATCCAAAGGCAAGCTTTCAAACACACACCTCTTATAAGGGCCTATCTATACACAGTCATTATATCAGATAACAGGGAAATATAAATTTAAAACTCCACTGTACCGATAAAATGCTTTGTAGGGGCATTTTTCTTCTGGAATCAAAAAGCCAGTCTTCGGTGCAGCTCTGTCACTTTGACATCTGTCTTCTCTTTAAAAAGTCCCTCCGTGTTTCAAGACTGAATGTCTCCAAATGCAGAAGCTCTGGTATGATAACGTCTTAACCACTGAAACATCTCTTGCACTAACAAACTTCAACTGGATTTTGATTTTGTGTCAGGGCCCAGTATATCCATAGTATCGGGGTAGCAGAGCCTTTGTCTCATAGCACCACCCTCTCCACACAGAGGGGTTAGTTGGGATATCAGTCAGCACAGTTTAGTATCCCTTTAAAAAAAAAACACAAACCAACCAAACCAAAGCCCCACACCCCACCAGTTATCATGATGTCAATCTTCTATGGAAATTGGATACAGACTGTTGGGTTCCTAAATACTTGTCATAGTTTAACCCAACAGCTGGCAACTTAGCACTAGACAGCTGCTTGCTCACTCCCCTCCTTCCCCCTCAGTGGGATGGGGAGGAGAAATGGACAAAAGGGAAAACTCATGGGTTGAGATAAAGAAAGTTTAATAAGGCAACAAAGGAAATGCTAATAGTACTAATAATGCTAATAAGAGTAATGCTAATAACAATGATAATAATGAATACACAAAACAAACTACATACAATACAATTTATCTCACCACCTGACAACCAATTTGCAGCCCAAAAAAAAGAAATCAAACTCCCGGCCAAGAGTGGATTCAAACGTTCATGGAAACTGAAAAGCCAATAGCCTTCCCCCCCCAGCCAACCCCCATCCATAAACTGAGCATGACATCCACGGTATGGAATATTTCCATTGGCCAGCTGGACTATCTGTCTGGTTGTGTTTATTCCCAGCTCCTGCACAGCTGCTCATTAGCTAGGTATGAGAAACTGGAAATCGTCCTTGATTTCATAGCAACAGCTAAAAACCTCAACATTATCAACATTCTTCTTGTACTAAATCCAAAACACAGCAGCCACTGAGACGAAAATTAACTCTATCCCAGCTGCAACCAGGACAATACTGAATTTGGGTGTGGGTAGTAGGTTAGATCACTTTTAGAGTGCCAGCTCCTCAGCCCCACAGCACTGACTGCAGGAACTCAAGTGCATCCAGCACTGTGAAAGCGCAGACCTAAACTGCAAAGGGGAACTACTTGGAAAAAACCATCAGTCCTAATTCCCTCCCTCTACGCACCTGTGTTTTCCTTAGCTGGAGTTGCAAAAAATGCCATCCTTGATTCTAACATCCTTGTGCTATATGATGCATGGCTTAAAACCCAGCCTGCGACCTCGTGCGTGTCTGTGCAGTTAGCCAGGGCGCTGCACACCACAGATAGCTTCGCAAGGGACGGGGGGTTGCTAAGCCCTGTGCCCTCATTGCACACTTAACTTTTTCCCCATATCAGCAGCCTAACGATTACTCTGAAAATGCCTGGGAATTTCAGAAGGTTGTGGGATGCTGAGAAGGCACCCTTAGATTCTTTTGTCACGTCTAGCCCATCAGGAAAATTCCCCAAGGGGAAATGATACTGCGGTGGCACAGCTCAACAGCAGCCAGTGTAAAGCCCGTGGCATTAACCCTCTCTATCACAGCAGCAGGCATAGAAAATCGCCTTGCAGCAACCTGCGGACACATCAAGCATGTAATATATTGCATTTTCCTCTTGGCTAACGCTCCTTTCTGTCTGTCCCCCTCGCAGCATACAGCGTCGGCTGTCTCTGCAGCTGCCCATTCTCCACCATGCCTATTTGCCATCCATAGGAGGAGTTGATGCCAGCTGTGCCAGCCCGTGTGTAAGCCCCAGCGCCAGCCCTCGGCACAGACACGTGCCGCCCTCCTTCCGAGTGATGGTTTCGGGGCTGTAGGCAAGGGAGATCAGTGCTTCCTGAACTGCTTTTAAGTACTTGATAACTGGACTAAACATCTGACCTAGAACTCTGCTACAAACGTATAACATTGGCTCTGACCACAGAGGAGCTACCGCTGAGGCCGTCGTCACAGGAGTGCCCGTGCAACTCGTGTGGGAAGGCAAAGGAGAAGGACACGAGGAGTTTGATCTGTAGCCTTATTCATGGAGTTTTTATTTCTTCACGTAGAAGTCACTGAAAAACATTTCTTCCCAAATTTCTACTCGCAACAAGGAGGTTGGGAAATACGGATCTTGCAAAAAAGACACTAGGAAAAAAAAAAACCACACTCAAGTGTCACTGAGCTTTATGTGGCTGCTGAGAACATGCAATTCTATCCTGTATCCATGCAAGGAAAATACAATGGTTGAGCTATACCATATTTATTGACATAGATCCACTCGTTTTTACAAGAGTTGTGTTAAATTGCTGGAAACATTCTGCACTGGTTAGTCTTGCTTGTTTTCATTTCAGGGATGATGTTCGATAGGAAAGCAGGACTGTGAGAAATGATTCTTTGGGTGGCATTGAGACTCTGCAGTGCTGTGAGCAGGGTCACCTCTAGCTTGCAGCTGCACACGAAACACAAGCAGAGGCTGCAGCTCCAGCTCCGAGCTGTCACCAGCTGGAGAGCTGCTGGCTGGAAGCGGAGCGCTTCGCCCTGCTCCAGGATGATGGTAGCGACTGCTGACCATCTGCAGCTTCATTTTCAGCAAAGTTTCTGCACCTGTTTCAGAATAAACACCACCAACCGTAATGTACTAAACTGTCTGGAAAAGTCCTAGGGCTGATAGCTCAAGAAGCTGAGGACAGATGGGTAGCAAAGTCTTAATGTCACAGGATGGGTTGTTTTTCATAGCTTGTTTGAATTTCGCCACACATAATTACAATAAAATTGATTGAGTGGACTTGGGGGCGGGGGGAGGAGTTAGGGCACAGCACTTTGCAGCTGCAGGCAAAGCCTGCGGAGCGCATAGATGTGAATATACACTATGTTTGCTTTGTACCTGCGTGTGTGACAGTTGTAGCGGAGAACAGGGAGGACAAATCAAATTTACCAATAGAATATTTTATCTGAATCCTGAAAGGACCGTGAAAAAAAACAATGGGTTTTCTACTTTAGCTCCGTTCCCTCAACTGAAATAATTAGGCGAAACGATAGCGGCACACCGTCTGGGCCAGCTCCGGAGCCAAACCCTCAGGCCCCATTGAGACACACATGCAGCTTCTTTTTCCAAGGGACTGCAGACGTGGCATCTCACTGCCAGGGCTGTTTGCTAAGAGTAGCGGGGAAAAAACCACATGAAGCACCCACTGGGCTCTCAGTTTTCTTTGTCCAATGCCTGTGCACCTCAGACCAAACCTTTGGACTGACGCTCCTACAAAGGTTTACGAATCAGCAATGACTGAAGCACAGCTGAAGAGGTTCGTTAGCTGAGGGACTTAACCGCAGCTCTGACAAGCTAGCGTAAATCTCCATTAAAAATAAAACACACCTCATAGTGGCCAAAACCAACATGAATATGTATCTGAATCTTACAATCAGGAGCATCACAAAATATTTCACTTGGCACATACGGTAAGAGAGGTTATGGAAATATCTGTAGCTTTTAGAACAAAAACATGTAAGTATAAACACAGATAAAATAGATCTCATTACTCTGTTTAAGCACTAAACACTGACGTTGTCACTCAATGTGTGTTGACAGTATTCTCTTGCTTTATTAATATCATCAGGGCCTGGTTTATTTTAAAAGGAATGTTAATTTTTAAAAAGAGAAAATTACAATACTGTATATAATGTATACACAAAGATCTCTGTAGAAATATTATTCCAACATAGCAGGAAAAAAACAATTCAGAAGTATCGGACCATTGGAGGTGAGTGTGTGTGTGTGTCTGTAACTTCGTGAATACTGACTGTGTGACATTTATTAGGTTCAAACCATGCAGTACATTCTTTGTCTCAATGATACTGTAGTTTCTCCCATAACATTTTTTTTTACTTTACTGCAGATAACAAGACCAACCAAGTGAATATAGCTATTTAATGTTTCTGTTCTTTTATACTGCAGCAAAAATGTACTGTAAATTTATGAAGAGGCTGTGCCCCGATGGCATTTTCCAATGATGTTAGTGCACAAATGCTTTAAACTAGACTGGAACTGCCAGAATAAAATGTAAATGAAGAATTTCTTGTATAACCTTATACTGCATGAGATCAATTTTTAATAAATTGTTGCAAATCTGTTTTTATGAATAAAATATATAAAACTTAGCTTTATGGACTCAGTGCCCTCTTCCCCCATAGCAAAATGATTTTTAATGTGTATATGTATGTGTGTATATATAAACATATGTGTATATATAAAAGCCTCCTTGAAGAAGGAGGAATCCTATTACATCATCCCATTGTAATAAAAAGTCATAATACAAATCCTAGTGGTTGAAGGGCTCACATTTAGAGAAAATAGATAGACAAGCTTCTGCCCTGAAACACAATTGCCACAGTACTCATGAGTGAAGTTTAAGTCCTTTTTCAAATAGAAAAATAATCAACATATGCTAAACATTTACAACCAAACCAGACTTAATACATGCACTATTCTCTCTTGCACCACAATGCATGTGAATTCAGGAGAAAGAGAAAGATTTGACCATTTCACATAAACTGTTGAAGTTGAGTCAATCTTCCAGCTATGTAGTAAAATCTCTGCTTCTGTGAATGAGAAGTTTCTGAAAATAATCACTGATTCTTTCATGAAGACAAACACTAAACCTCTCCACACAGTGTCACACAAATGCTAGGTTTTGTGTCCTAAGCCAGGTTCTTCTGCATGGCAGCAGAGGAGGAGGGTGGGAATGAAGTGCAACGAGCCAGCTAGAGGAAAGAGCATTTTTAGTTGTTTCCTCTCCAACAGGAGCATCTTCAAGCCAGCACAAAATGACATAAAGCTCCAGATGAGGGAATTCAGAGCCACCACAAAAGTGTCTGCTATACATTTCTGATGCAGATTAGGAGTCCTGCCGAACACATGCAAAAGAGAAAATACCAGTGAGGAGTGAACAGCATGGATCATGGATCTCAATGCAGAGTACCAGATGGCAGGAGAAACTCAGCTACATGAAAGCTCATTCAAGAAAGAAAAAAAAAGTCTAGAATGACTCTATTGTGAAACCTATATTCAACCAGAAATTGTGGGAGGATATGAACAACTTGAGTTGAATAATAACAGGAATAAGAGGAAGCGAGAACAAAGCAAAACACTTCTTTAAGAGGTCAAGAAAAAAATAAGAGGGAGAAGTCAGGGCAACAAGTCTACTCAAACTCTTGAGTTTCCACAGTCACAGCAAATACGCTTCCTATAAAATCATAAAATTGCTATTGAATTAATGGAAGATTACTAATTCTGCAGCATTTCTTTCAAATAGTTAGTAAAACTGAGGATATTAAGCGAAGTACAAGAAAGGCACTTTTTCAGTTTTCTCTTTCTTTTAAAACTTGTAACACCTTCTCTTAAAGGTTTGTAATCAAACCTTTTCTGGTCTTTTCAGAACTTGTTTGTTCATTACAAATCCCGGTACATTGTGCCTACCCTCCCCAAGACTGGATTGGTGTTTCTGTCCCTTTCTGCTCAAGCTTGCTTAGCTACTGGAAGCCAGCCCAGCAAGACCTGTCCCAGCACTTCCACAGCACCCTGTGCATATTGGCAGGGCTTTACTGTGCACTCACACCACAGCCCAAAGGATGAGCCAGTCTGCCTGTTCAGTGAACTTATTTAATAGGGATTTTCTTCTCACTGCCTGAGAAGATTGACAAGTTTATTACAGTGGCTTAAACATCATGATTTTTATCTGAGTTTGGTTCTCGTATTTACTGACTGCCTTTTCCATCTCTTGAGGTGGTGAATAGTGATTATGGCCATTGCTTTAATATGCATGAACATTATTCATGAGTGTACTTTCAAGAGCACTCCGCCTCTTGAGCTCATCGGGATTCTGCCAGTGCGCTACTGCGCTTGTCACTACTCACTAAGTGACACTGCAGAGGAGCAAGAGAGGGTCTAGGGCTGCACTGGAAGACGTGGGGAGGAGACAGCTGGAGATCATGTTGGGCCGCTGGCAAGGGCAACCCTGGGTGGCAGTACCATCACATCAGTGTTGCCACAGACTTCTACCCATGGACGTTTTGAGCCACCAGCTTTGCAAGCTGCAGCTGGTTTAGACTCCCTCCCCTGGTGATGAGGTGCTGAAGTGGGCCAAATGAAGAGAAAAAGTGAGCGGAAGGCAGGAGGAGAAAAGAGGGAGAGGCATCTCCAGTCACTGAGCATGTTCTTCACCACCCCAAAAAAGTGGCGGCCACCAGTGTCATCAGAGCCAAGCATCACACAAGCATTTAAACACAAAAAGGAACTTCAGAGGCTAAATTCAGTAGAGGTCAAATAGATCTGAGGACAGGACCAGGAGGTGGGTGCAGGCTGTAGGTACCAGGCATCAAGCAGCCTGTGGGCTGGCTCACTAGCAGAAGCATAGCAGAAAGCAGCTCAGATGACCTTGAGCTTCAGGGGAAAGGACGCATATCTTCATGAGCCAGCGAACACAGGCTTTGACTAGAACCAAGGATTTTTATCTCCTGACAAAAGGCTATGCAGCAGGAGCCCTGTACCCACATGCACAGGGTGCAACTTAAGCTGAGAAAAGTATCAGCTAAATTTATGACCTACAGCTGTCAGTGCTTCAGAGACCACATCACCCACCTACCTACTACCGCAGGCAGCAGCGTGGGATGCCTGCTCGAGCAGGGGAGCAAACCGCCCCACAGACGTGAGGTTGTCCATTCTGGCAAGTCAGTGTGGCTGGAAAACAGTGTGTGTGTTGCAGAGAGCACTGGCAAGCACAAGCAGCCCAGCATTGGTGGCCTGGAAAACACCACAAGGGTCAAGGCAGGGACATTCATGCTACCTCCTGCTTTGGGAATTTGTCAAGAACCTAGCAGCAAAACCCGTTCTAAGGGCACATCCACACAAGCCACCCCCGGCTCAGAATTAATTCTCCTTGGCCCTGGCCCACTCTGCCACACAGTGCCACAACTGGAGCCCGCACAGCTGAACATCCCCTGCTTGTCCAGGCCTAAGGAAGAAGGAGCATGAAGCAGAAATGAAAGACAGGAAAAGAATGGGCAGGAAATATATGCGTGGCTTTATACTCATGAAGTAAGTGCTCTGCTGCACTGTTACCCAGGTGGCTCACACACTGCCCTCTCTAAGGGTACTCCAGTACTTCCAAACACCAGGGACCCCGCCCAGCAGACACAGCGATGGAGACATCGGTTCTGCAGGAGGGAGGAACCTCACATCCTCACCAAATAAGCTAGCTGACATAATAATTACTCCATATTATTAAGTAGATGTTGTGGTTTAACTCGGCAGGCAGCTAAACACCACACAGCTGTTTGCTCACTCCCCCTGCCCTCAGTGGGATGGAGGAGAGAATCACGGGGAAAAAAAAGT